AACCCCTGCTACCTCGGCAGTGTCTCCTCTCCTCACGCTGCAAGATCCCCTTAGAACCAGAACCCAGGGAGACTTCTGGGCTGCATCTCGGCTATGTTCTGGCTCTTTGTACCAGCAGGGTGCACTGGCCATCCATGGTGAGCTTTTTGGCTTCTTCCTTCCTCCTGCTCTCAACCACACCGCTACAGGCCTGCTGTTTCTCCTAATCAGAATGCACCACCTGCGCCTCAAGTGGCAGAGCATCAGGATGGCACTTTGCATCCTTGTGGCTTATCTGCAGGCCTTGAAGGGTAAGAAATACAGTACTAAATAGCAAGCACTGTCCTTGCCTCCAGGATCCAGGGTCAGATGTGGCATCCCATGGGAACTGCACCAGGTGAGTGGTTACAGGTTGTCCATCCCTTCTACCTGTATTCTTTATAGATGAGATATTTAAACTACAAAATGTGAAATGCCACAAATGGAATGGGTAGATTCTCCACAGGTACAAATGGAGTTGCTGGAACAATGCAGAGTTTCCAAAAGGTATCTTCAGGGCCAAAAATCACATTGAAGACCGACCATATGCCAAGTGCACGTGTACCTCCTCTACTATTCACAATGACCGCAAAGAAATTTTATACCACTTTTACAGAGAAAGCAGGCCCAAAAGGGATGAAGTTCCCCAGTTTGGGCTGCTTTCTGGTTCTGCTTCTTAATCAGTTCCTCATCTGTCCAAACTGTACTTGCCTGGGGCGCCTAGGTAGCTCAGTCAGTTAAGCATCCAAGTTCAGCTCAGGTCATGATCTCGCGGTTTGTGGGTTTGAGCCCCATGATGGGCTTTGTGCTGACAGCTCAGAGCCTGGAGCCTGCTTCAGATTCTGTGTCTCCCTCTCTCTACCCCTTCCCTGCTTGCGCTCTCTCTCTCAAAAATAAACATTAAAAAAAATTAAAGTGGTAAATTTTATGTTGTGAGTTATATCTCAATAAAAAGAGAAAAGGATGGTTGGTTGAGAGGGCTCCCACTCATGAAATCTAGGGCAATGTGAGCATCAAAAAGAATGAGTTATTAGATTGTAACACTCTGAATCTAAAAATTCACAGTAAAAACAACTACCCAAAAAGAGCAGAAGGAAGAGAACTCCTTTTTATAGATGAATGCCGGCTAATAAATGCAGGAGGAATGATGGGATAAGAAAATTATCACTTAAGACTCCTAATGAGGGGCGATTGGATGGCTCAGTAGGTTAAGCATCTGATTTTGGCCCAGGTCGTGATCTCACAGTTCGTGATTAAAGCCCCACCCCACATCAGGCTCTCTGCTGTCAGCGGAGAGAGCTTTGGACCCTTTTGTCTCCCTCTCTTTGTGACCTTCGAGTGTTCTCTCTCAAAAATAAACAAACATTAAAAAAAAAAAAAAAAAGACTCCTAATGAGATAACGGATTTAGGCAAAAAATCAGCAGCAGGTGCTATAACCAACGGGTAAAAAGGTGGCTGAAGACCAAGATACTCAATAGTACCACCCACAGTTTACTGGATAGATCTGGGGGGCACCACCTTAATCAAAGAGAATCAAACCTAACATCCCAATACAGGGACAACCTAATGTGATGCACTAGAACATATGTAACCTCACTTATCCTTGCAAAAGCCATTTAACCTGAATCAAATCATGAACAATGAGACAAACCCAGAATGTGGGATTTTCTATGACCTGAACTTATTCAACACACTTAAAATAAGTGTAAGAAACAGAAAGGGGGCATCTCTAAAATGACAAATCCGATTTTCTTGAACATATTTTACTGTTCCCCATTTAAATAGATAAAAAGGATTATGATACAGTTGCTCTGAAACTCCTCTACGAAGCTGAAGTCTTCCAAATTAGCTAAGTGAAAACGAGCTCAATTCAGACAATCAAGAATTTATCTAAGAGGCAAGAAAATATGTTGGATAACTCACAAACACCACTATACTTTACCTGCAGCTTAGAACTCCACATACTTCAAAATATGAATTTAACAGTTTTCTTAACAGAATGTCTAATAATTTTTAGTGAGAGAGGTAAACATTTTTTGCCACATGGTAGGTATGCCATATGATTAGCAGACAATTCAATCTCTCTCCAGTGAGATAATTTATCATAAAGAAAGTCACCAAAAATTGTAAGCAGTCTGGATTCGTGTTTATTGAAGCCAGTAATTAGAGACATCTTCTTTTCCAGCACTAGAAAGCAAGGTTCCACATGACTGCGTAACTGTATCCGGTTAGAGCCACACCCCTGGACTAAGGCTGGTGGGGGAATAATCTGCAGTCCAAATTTTACGTTAAAAACACCAATAAACTCAGTATAGAGACGACAGTGAACTTTCACTTACAGCATCAACATTGTTAAGGTCATGATGTACAGAGCAGTCACTTGCAACTTTGTTAAACTCATAAAATACGACATCAGTTTAAATAGTGATTTTTAAAATGCCAATCAAAAAAAAAAGTGCAAACAAAATTAAATAATTCTAGCAGCATACCCGTTGCATTTTTAGGAAAGACCAATTCATGGCCACATCTTCAAGGTTGGGCTTATTTCTTTGATTTTTCCATTTTAAAGACAAACAGCAGATGTAACCACTATAATATATATAAATAGTCAGAAAATTGTCTTTAATAGTCTACCATACAAGTGTATTCTGCAAATAAAATGAATTTTACTTTAAAAAGTAAAGGCTGTTTATTGTTCGGCCTTTGGTTCCACTGCTTGAAAACCCCAAAATAACAAAAAATATCTCCCCTCCTCCCACCCCCCCCAAAAAGAACCCTGCAGCTCCCCAAAGTTGGTAGACTTTGGCAACCACTGAGCACATGACATATTACACGCACCAGCGTCTTCCGCTACTAGGAGCAGCCACTCGTTACGAGAAACTCAAAGTGATCCCCAAGAAATCTTCCCTCACAAGACAGGTGTCTTAGCACTTCATCAGTTTTAGTACATCTTATATTGACACAAAAGTGCTTATTAGTCTAAATGACAAAAAAAAAAACTTTGTAAAAAGTAAAATTTTGCATTAAAATTTGAAATCACACTGTATCCCCCACAGGCATGTGCCTTTCGAATAATTCTGTCTTGTTTCTGAGGTCATTTTGCCCCTACCCCCACCCGAGCTGCTGTAGAGGGAGGGACTAAGTGACCCCCCCATCAGTGTGGCCACAGCTGTTGGGCATCTACTGGTCACTACACCACAACTATCCTTATACAGTCAGTTTACTGTCATTACGTGGACAATCTGGTGACTGGAAGCCACAATACATTAAACAAATAACTGAATTTAAAAAGGGGTGGAAAAGTGTATTTTTAACAAAACTGGCACAAAAAACATGTTTTTATGTTTGTCAGAAAGGCAACTAAATACTCAGCTTTCTCCTTAACAGTGTTCAGACCTTTACAAAAAAAGCAATTCAAGACAGTCTTATTAGAGTCTTTGTATATACAACACAGGATATGAAGTTATGCCCAGTACTATGTTAGTGGTCAATCAAATCTGGTATGTAAAAGTAATGACGTTAGGGTAGTTATTTTCAGACACAGTACAACAAACATTCATATAAAAAAAGTAAACTCCACATAAGTGAACTGTGGTTTTTTTCCCTTGGTTTGACAACAAATGTTTTATATATTAAATCAATGGTAGTGTTTGCATTCAAATGTTGTGTCGCATATAAAATTAAAAGTGCCATTTCAAATCCACAGAAGTCATTTCTAGAATGGTGGTATGACATGATGATGTGCATGAATTTGCTCTACACGGAGATACGGAAACTCTTGTTTCCATAAGAAAAAAATGCTACATTTTATGAAAAACACAAGTAAGAGAAATGTATCATTTCCATTTGCAATATAAAACATTCACACTTATTTGTCCATCTGATAGCACTGATCAGACCAGAGAGCTAGGACAAGACCCTTTTGCATCAATGGAACTCTGTGAAGGTATCCACAGACCATAAGGCAGGGATTGGTGCAAGCCAATTCATCAGAGTGCAATTACATTACAAACCTCCCTCAAACTTTCTGTAGCACACTGCATTATGGTAAAATGAGAGGTTGGTCACCCATTCTGTTAGTAGGCCAGCCTGTGGTAGTATAAAAAATTTTTTTTTAATTTAAAAAACAAAGCAGGAGCTATTTAGAAAACACAATGCAAAGTTAAACTAATTTTGTAACTGCTGACTTTAAACACACTCCACAGTGAATGCCCCCCCGACGCACATGCGTGGAGCCCAGCTCGTCCTGAGGACATGGCCTGGGCCACACGTGTGAGTCTCAGGCAGCTGCCATCTTCCCCACCCGTGTCAGCTCCACCTGACTCAGGCACCCCCACACTTTACACATCTTTCTTAAGTTAGAGATGCATTCAGAACAAATCTTATTCCCATTTTCTCAGTATTTAGTTTGGAAATACTTTTAAATCTTAAAAATGATTATTCGACTTTCTACCGAACACACGGTATTTACTAACACCGCTCGTCTCCTCCCTCCTCATCTCCTCCAACGTTCAGCTTCCCCACCGTCACTTCTCGAATTCCTCCTTTCCGTCGTTCTCTTTCCTGGACTTGCTGCCACTTAATCTGCTTCCCAAGAACAAGTGAATTTGCTAACACGCAACTGGTCAGACTAACCGCCCTCTGATCATTGATTTCCTGGTCTCATATGCTCCACCCTGAAAGAAAGCGGGCCATCTTTCTCTCGATCTACCATCCCTTTCACAAAAGGCCCTGCTGCGCTTGCTTCTCACAAGAGAGCCACATGCCTGAGAGTCCAAGGGTTATCCTTAACAAAGGGGTCTGACACGTAACCTTCCTAAATGTGCATTTCATATTTGGACAAGCCAATGAAGTATTTTTTAAGTTCATCTCCCCTGCCCCAAAAAACTGATAGCATGTGCCATATCAGAAAAATCCTTGTCTTAGCAGATCAATATACATAGTTATTTGGTCATTTTACATATGCACTTTTTAAGGAGGATCAGGCTTCATTTTCTGTTGAAGAGTTTGTTACCATGGAGTCTGGTTTTCGAGTCATTCTATCCAGTTCTTCCTGAACATTTGTCAACACAGTCTTTTGTCCTTAAAAAAAAAAAAAA